CGTCCTCTCCTACATGAAGGGAGGACCCGCAGGGGCGTGGGCAACACAACGGATGATCACCCTGTTGACAGCCGGCTCCCCCACCATAACCATGGATGAGTTCAACACAGAACTTGACGCCATGTTCCAGGACCCAAACCGGGAGGCCACAGCTCGGCAGAAGTTGGCAGTCATCCGCCAAGGGACTGACTCCATGGATAAGGTCATCCAGGAGTTCCAGATATTGGGACCCGCCTCGAGGCTAGGCGATGTTGGACTGGTCGACCAGTTTGAGCAAGCGATTAACTCCCGGCTCAGGGAGAGTATATACCGCCTCCATCCACCCCATGCCCACCACTTGGACTGAGTGGAAGCGCGAAGCCACGCTTCTGGACAACCAGTGGCGACATTTCCAAGCCACCCAACCACATGCACCCCCACCCAGACCCCCATTTCCGCCAGCTCGACCCCCACTGACTGCGACCCCATCCCAGGCGCGACCCACACAGACCCCCCCATGACCTGCTCCCGCACCTCCGCCCCCCACTCCAGCAGCCCGTCCTATGCCAGGGACAGGCCCCCAGCCAATGGATCTCAACAGGTCGAGGACTGACCAGAGGTGGTGCTACAATTGTAACACCCCGGGGCATCTCGCGCGAGAATGCCCACACCCCAGGGTCAGCCGAGTATGACGTCTCCACCCGGAAGACCTGAGAACACTGATGGAAGGGCTGAAGAGACAGTTGACCGAAGGGACAGAGACGGTGGAGGGGGAACCAGAGGCAGAACCTCAGAGGGATTTTCAGGCAGGTGACCGGTAAGGGATGCGTCCCGGCCGCCCGTAGAAGATAGCTCGTGTAAATACCGCAGTGCACGTAAGCCAACGCCAATGCCAAAGTTTCACCAAGTCATCGTGAAGAAAAAGAGGAGAAACGCATCCTCCACCCATGAGAACGAGAAGACCCCAAGGGCAGTAACGCCCGAGGTAGCGGTCTCCCCCCCAGCCATTTACGTCCTTTCCAAGCAGTCCCCCAGATCCCTTAACCTCACAGTGAAACTGACCGCCCTAACCTCTCTCACATCAGTATCTGTATCAGCCCTCCTGGACTCAGGAGCCACTGGGAACTTCGTAAGCCCCGAGTTCGTCCGGAAGCACAACCTAGAGACAACCCCCCTCCCCCAGCCCATTCCTGTCCATAATGTCGATGGAACCCTGAACAAAAATGGAGCTATAACAGAGGAGCTAGGGGCCCTCTTGACCTTCAGGCAACACACAGAGCAGGCACGCTTCGCAGTTGCAAATCTCGGGCAACAGTCCCTCATCATAGGACACTTGTGGTTGCTGCACCACAACCCAGAAGTGGACTGGGTATGACAGAAGGTCGTCATGTCCCGCTGCCCGTCCTCCTGCAGACAGCTGCAAGTACGAGATGATCAGGACCCTGTACTGGAGCCCGGGGATGGGATCTACGCTGCTATCATTCCCCCAAGCTGGGGCCATGACCTGAGAGCCACCACGACCCCTTCACAGCAGATGGCCCAGGAGGCCCACGACCCGGAGGCTGAGCCCGTGTCGTTTGAGACGCTAGTACCAGAGCACTACCAGGACTTCCGGGACATATTCTCCAAAGAAGCCTTTGACCAATTGCCCCCCCAGAAGCCCTGGGACCATGCTATAGACCTGGTACCGGATGCCAAACTGCCCAGGGGGAAGACCTTCCCACTCTCGCGCCCGGAACAGAAAGAGTTGGATGAGTTCCTATGCGAGAACCTACAGAACGGGCGCATACGGCCGTCCAAATCCCCTATGGGAACACCAGTCTTCTTCATCAAGAAGAAGGACAGGTCCCTACACCTGGTCCAGGACTGCAGGAAGCTGAACGAGATCATGGTGAAGAACTCGTACCCGCTCCCCCTCATCTCGGATGTCCTCGCCCACCTCTGCAATGCCAAATACTTCTCAGCCTTAGACCTATGCTGGGGGTTTAACAATGTTCGGATCAAGGACAGAGACGAGTGGAAGGTGGCATTCGCAACCAACCGGGGGCTGTTCGAGCCCATGGTGATGTTCTTCGGCCTGTGTAACTCCCCAGCAACCTTCCAGACCATGATGAACGACATCCTGAGGGATTTCATCGACTGGGAGGTTGTCATCTGTTACATGGACGACATCCTGATCTTCATGGCCACCCTGGAGGAACATCGAAGGGTCGTCCGAGAAGTCCTAGAGATGCTGAGGAGAAGGAGGCTCTTCCTTAAGCCAGAGAAGTGCAAGTTTGAGCGAACCCGGATCGAGTACCTGGGCCTCGTTATCTCGGAGGGTAACGTCGCAATGGACCCAGTGAAGATCCAGGGAGTCCTCGACTGGCCCCCCCCAACCAAGGTGAAAGAGGTACAATCCTTCCTAGGATTTGTAAACTTCTATCACCGGTTCATCAGAGACTTCGCTGAGAAGGCGCGCCCCCTTCACAGGCTGACCCGGAAGACCCAAACCTGGAACTGGGGCCCGGATGAAGATGATGCCTTCCGTGCCCTCAAGGAAGCTGTCACCACAGCCCCCGTCCTCTCTTTCCCTACTGACCACAGCCGCTTCAGGCTCGAGTGCGATGCATCCAACTTTGCAACCGGCGCGGTCCTCTCCCAACTCCAACCGGATGGGGAATTCCACCCGGTAGCATTCATGTCCAAAAGTTTCACGGACATAGAGCGCAACTACAAAGTGTACGATAAGGAGATGCTTGCAATCATCCGAGCCCTCGAGGAATGGCGACACTTCATGGAAGGTGCTGAGGAGAAAGTCGAGATCTACACCGACCACTGTAACCCAGGCTACTTCCGGACGGCCCAGAGGTTAAATCGACATCAGGCCCGATGGTCCCTTTTTCTCTCCTGCTTCCATTTCACCCTCGTCCACCGCCCAGGGAAGCTCATGGGGAAACCGGATGCACTCTCTCGCTGCGCTGACCACCCGAAGGGGAGGGACAACAACGAGGGGCTGACCCTCCTCCAACCGGCCTGGTTCGAGGCCCGTGCAACAGAAGCAGTCTCAGTGGAAGGTGAGGAGGCGGATATCCTAGAGAGGATATGACGAGTGAAGGATCATGACGAGCGGGTGGTGAAGGCCATGAGGGAACTGGGAGAAGGGACGTTAAGGTCAGATGAGTGGGAGAGACAGGGAGAGTTGGTCCTCTACCGAGGCAGGGTGTACGTTCCAAAAGACCCACAACTCCGCCACGATCTGGTACAGCTACACCACGATGCGTGGGTGACAGGACATCCAGGGCGATGGGAAACCCTGGAGCTCGTCTCCCATGACTACTGGTGGCCTCAGATGGCAGAATATGTTGGGCGATATGTACGTGGATGCGACACCTGTAACCGTGTCAAATCCTTCCCCACACGGAAGGTCGGGAAGCTCACCCCAAATAAAGTCCCTACCCACCGTTGGCAGGTAATCTCAGTAGACATGGTGGGAGAGCTCCCAGAGTCGAAAGGTTATAACGCCATCCTAGTTGCAGTGGACCGTCTGTCCAAACGCATCCACGTGATCCCCACCGTGACATCCGTGGACTCGGCTGGTATCGCCCAGCTTTTCCTGGAGCACATCTGGAAGCACCACGGGCTCCCGGAAGAGATCCTCAGCGACAGAGGGAGCGCCTTTGTCTCGCACTTCTCAAAAGAACTTGCAGATCTCCTGGGGGTCAAGCTAACCCCCTCAACGCCCTATCACCCCCAGACTGACGGACAGACAGAGCGGGTTAACCAGGAAATCGAAGCCTATCTTCGGGTGTTCATCAACCACCGCCAGGACGACTGGGCGGACTGGCTCCCACTGGCAGAATTTGCCTACAACAACCGCATCCACTTGTCCACCTGTCAAACCCCCCTTCGAGCTTGACACCGGGCAGCATCCCAGGATGGGGATGGAGCCCACATGTATGTCCAAGGTAGAAGCTGCCGACGCCTTCTCGTCCAGGATGATGAAGATGCAGGAAGAGGCGAAGGCAGCCCTGGAGCATGCAGCGGACGAGATGGCCCGCTACTACAACCGGGGTCGAGAGACAGCCCCCAAGTACCAGGAGGGCGACCGAGTCTGGCTCAGTGCCCAAAACTATATGACTGACTGCCCGACCAAGAAGCTAGACCATAAGTGGCTAGGCCCCTTCAAAGTCGTCAAAGTCGTCTCCCTGGCTGCTGTCAAGCTCCAGCTCACCGCATGGCAAAAGGGAATACACCCAGTTGTATCCGTGATGAATGTAAGACCCTACCGCCCGGACGAGATTGCAGAACAACCCCCTGACCCCTGCCCAGGCCCAGAACTCATAGATGGAGAGGAGGAATATGAAGTAGAGAAAATACTGGACTCTAAGTGGTTACGCCAGAAGCTCTGGTATTTAGTAAAGTTCGCAGGTTGGCCGAACTCAGAGAATGAATGGCTCCCCCGAGACCAACTAATCCATGCCCCTGACCGGATCAAGGAGTTCCACCAAACACACCCCCACACCCCAGGAAGGGAGAGAACGAACCCCCTGGCCGCTTCAAGGCGAAGCGGCTTAAGGAGGGGGTGATGTCAGGGCACACCCGCCTGACCCAGCTCCACCCACCCTGACCCGGTATCCCGCTCACCTCTACTCCCCACCCTTCATCACGGTTCCTCAACTCCTGTTCTTCTTTCTATCCTTTTGTTCTTTTATTCCTCTGTTCTTTCTTCTATCTTTATCTACACGGACGACCTTTCCCCATACCTATGTATTATTGACCCGCCTGCGACACGCGCACGACACACCCAGCCCCGGACGGCCTCGCAGTGCAACCCAGCACACACGCATCCTGCACATGCCCTCGGGATCCCCCACGGGGACACCCAGATGACTGTGGCTGTATGCGGGGTGACGTGGCAAACCTCATGTGACCCAAGCCGCATGTACATAAAGGTACCTGGGGTGGGAACCAAAGAAGTAACCTTCTTCTCACAGTTCCCACTTCAGGTAAGTAGCATAGCCTCCCCTTTTAATAACAACTCACAGTTCCCACTTCAGTCTGAGTGGCCAGGGACCATCGTCCCGGACCAGGCCTGTCAGTACGCACGCCCGTTCCACACCCCGTGATGGCCTCAGTGCCAGGCCCTCTCGACCCCGGATGCATCCCTGACAGCCTGGCCTGAAATGAGGCGGTAAAGTTACACTCTCCCCTGCAGTCAACGATCCAGCCAGTTGTCCTGGGTCGATTTCCCCACCTTTCCCCTTGGTGTCAGTGGTCACTGTCGCTGTCAACGGGGTAGGTGGCTTAGTTCCACTAAAGATGGGAACAAATTGTCTGTCGGGTTCTTGTACCTCGATGGACAGGCATGAATTTTCCGCTTCTGTGACGATGGCAGTGGCAGTGGGGATCCCTTCAGGTACTGGGACCCCAATGATTGGTTGGCCTGTTTGACTGATGGGGACTACGGGGACCTCTTGGGGTGTTTGTGCCTCAACAGTGGGTTCTTTCATCTGTTCAGAGATGACAATGGGATCCCCATCGGTTGCTGGGTTTGGGGGTGGGTTTCCCACCATTTCCATGCATGGCTTTGGCTTGTCGTGTCGAGAGAGTGTGAGGAGAATCTTGTTTAATTTCTTGTTTAATCTCTCTTCCACCTTAGTGATATTACGATCTAAATGAGCAATATTGTTGCTATTCCCAGAGATCTGGGTTTTCATGTTATGGACATCGCCCCTCAATTCGGTGATGTCATTGTCGACTTGGTTGATGCGATTTCTTAATATTTGCGCCATCTCAGACGCAAGGGAGTGTGTTGGTGATGGAGGACGTGATGCGTGCCTTGGGATGTATGCTGCAAGGGTCTCAGCTATGAGGGCTTCAGACATTGTAACTTGGTCAACGTCTCTTAGAAAGATCTGATGCATCTGAGACACATCACTGGGCCCTTGCAGGTCCAGATCACCACTATCTATCTGTCAGGGACGGCTCTGAAGAGGCGGGGGTAACAGCGTAACGCTCGGTGCTAGTGGCCCGGACGGTGGTGGGGTGGTGAGACTGTATGGTGGGCAGCCTGTCAGGGAGCGACCTGGGGTCGAGGGCGCCTGGGTGTGTCACCCAGCACTGAGGACCCGGTAGGGTGTAGCATGGGCGCGCATACTAATGGGCCCAGCACAAAAGGGCTGTCAGGGGACGACTCCCGGGTCCCCATGACCCTCCCCTATGGTCCACAGTCCCAGGTGTAACCAGCCCTGTCCAGGGCACAACCTACTGTGGGTCAGAGATGATATATAAAAGAGAGGCAAGTATATACAACTTGCCTACTGTGGGTCAGAGATGAGAAGGAAGTTAACTTCTCATCTTCCCACAGTGGCCACAATACATCGAAAACTTCCGGAGATATCCGGAAGTCACATGAGACCCGAGACCCGAGGTCCGGGCCATCCGGCCGCACTGAGCATCCGGCACAGGGCACGTGCGGGGAGTGCAACAGCCGGGTGCAGTCACGGGTGCGGGTGCGAGTGCAGGTGTGGATGCGGTATGGGCTAGGTCAGGGTGTATGCCCTGACAAGGGCACCCCTGGCCACTTAGGCCAAAGTGGGAAGTGTGAGAAGAAGGTTACCTCTCAGTTCCCACTTAGGCTGTGTTTATGTACATGCGGCCGAAGGCCACGTGGGGAGCGCCACATCATCTACATGCACAGCCATATCCGCCCAGGTATCTCCATAAGAGATCTCAGGAGCATCCAGTGTGTAGGGCGTTGCCCGGTGTGTCCGGGTCCGGGCATGTTGCGCAGCCTGGTTAATGGTACATCGAGCAAGGAAGTCGTCCCTGTAGTAGAAAAGGAAAGAAGGAGAAAGAAAGGAAAGAAGAAAGAAGAAGGGAAAGGAGGAAGGAGAGAGGAGGGAAGAGAGAAGGGAGGAGGGAGGATGGGGACACTGGGTGAGGGTAGTGGGATCGGGTGGGGTCGGACTGGGTGGAGTGGGGTCAGGCAGGTGTGCCCTGACACAGCCCTCACTTGGGCTGGTGTCCCTGTGTGGCTTCTTAGGCTAAAGCGGGAATGTATTGTTATTAAGATGATGTCAGGGACCGACCCGGGGTCGAGAGCGCCCGGGTATATCGCCCAGGGCTGAGGGTCCGGTAGGTATGGCGCAGGCATGCGTAACAACGGGCCCGAAGCAGACAAGGGTCCCTGGCCACTCAGGCTAAAGTGGGAAATGTGTTATTGTTATTAACAAGGGAAATGTGAGAAGAAGGTTGCTTCTCAGTTCCCACTTAGGCTGTGTTTATATACATGTGGTTGGGGCCACGTGGGAAGTGCCACGTCATCTACACACACAGCCACATCCATCCGGGTACCTCCGTAAGAGGTCCTAGGAGCGTCCGGTATGCGGGAGGTCATCCGGTGTGTCCGGGTCCGGGCGCGTTACACTGCAGCCGGGTCAATGGTACATTGATACAAAGGAAGTCGTCCGTGTGATAAGAAAAGAATAAAGAGGAAAGAGAAGAGAAAAGAGAGGAAAGAAGAAAGAGAAGAGTAAAAGGGGAAGAGGGGGAGGTCGGGAGGAGCGGATGGTGGGGCACCGGGTCAGGTGGGGCCGGGTCAGGCAGGTGTGCCCTGACAGATGAAAAGCTAAACTAGGTTGAAACACTTGCCTGAAGCAGGAATGAGAAGAAGGCTGCTTCTTCAGTCCCGCTTCAGCTAAGTTTATATACATGTGAAAATGGGTCACGTGGAGGTGCCATGTCAACCTCGGATGAAGCCGGGTTGTCACGGGCAACTCCGTGGTCGATCCCGGGTGTGAGAGAGGAGAAACACAAGTAGGGATGCACGGTGCATCTGGCATCGCGGTACCCATACAGGGTGCTCAGCGTCGGATGCATCTGTGCTACAGGTGTGGAAAAGAGAGAAGTTGTCTGTATAAGGATAGAAAGGAAGAAGAGAAAGGAGGAAAGGAGGAAGGAGAAAGAGGGAGAGAGGGAGAGCGGAGAGGGGTGCAGTATGGTGTGGCACAGTGTGCCCTGACATGACCCCCCTTAAGCCGCTTTGCCTCAAAGTGGCCAGGGGGTTCTCTTGTTCTCTTCCGGGGGCATCCGGGTGCGCTCTGTGAAACTCCTTGATTCGGTCGCATGCATTGATCAGGTTGTCAAGGGGGGGGCCATTCGTTCTTGGAGTTTGGCCAGCCTGTAAACTTCACCAAATACATACCAGTGTTTTCTGCAGTGCCAGTGGGAGTCGAGGACCTTCTCAACTTTGTACTCTTCTCCCCCGTCTATGATTTTGGGGCCTGGGTGGGGGTCGGTGGGTTGTTCGGCAATCGTGTCTGGGTGGTAGGGTCGGACATTCGTTACTGACACCACTGGACTCCTTTTTGCCGTGCTGTGAGTCAGAGCTTGACTGCGGTGGGGGATACAACCTTGAGAATTTTAAAGGGGCCTGTCCATTTGTGATCTAGCTTCTTGGCTGGGTGGTCCGTGGTGTAGTTTTGAGTACTGAGCCAGACTTGGTCACCTTCCTTGTACTCAGGCGCTACTTCTTGATTTTGGTCATAGTAGTGGGCCATCTCCTCCGCTGCATGTTCCAGCGCCGCCTTCACCTCCTCTTGCATTTTCATCATCCTCGAGGTGAATGCGTCAGCAGCTTCGACTTCTGACATGTGCATGGGTTCTGTCCCCATCCTGGGGTGCTGACCGGTGTCGAGCTCAAAGGGGGTGCGGTGGGTGGATGTGTGGATGCGGTTGTTATGGGAGAATCCCGCTAGCAGGAGCCAGTCCACCCAATCGTCCTGGCAGTGGTTGACAAACACTCGGAGGTAGGCCTCTATCTCTTGGTTTACCTGCTCCATCTGTCCATCTGTCTGCAGGTGGTAAGGAGCAGAGGGGGTCAGCTTGACCGCTAGCAGGGCTGCTAGCTCTTTGGAAAACTGAGAGACAAAGGTGCTCCCTCTGTTGCTGAGAATTTCCTCAGGGAGGCTGTGATGCTTCCAGACATGCTCGAGGAAAAGTCAGGCGATTCCTGCCAAGTCTACCATCATGACTGTGGGGATTGCATGGATGCACTTGGAAAGGCGATCCACCACAACCAGGATGGTGTGGTAACCTCTCGACTTGGGGAGCTCTCTGATCATGTCTACGGAGATTACCTGCCAGCGGCACACAGGGATCTTGTTCGGCATGAGCTTCCCCACCTTCTGTGAGGGGAACAATTTGACCTGGTTACAGGCGTCACATCCTGCTACGTAGCAGCCTATGTACTCCACCATCCAGGGCCACCAGTAGTCATGGGAGATGAGCTCTAGGGTCTTCCATCGCCCTGGGTGCCCCGTCACCCATGCATTGTGGTGTAGTCGCACCAGATCATGGCGGAGTTGTGGGTCTTGCAGGATGTACACCTTCCCCCTGTAGAGGATCAGTTCCCCATCTCTGCTCCATTCATCTGACCTGAGCGTTCCATCCCCTAGTTCCTTCAGCGCTTTCACCACCCTCTCATCACGGTCTTTCGCTGCACATATTCTTTCCAGGATGGTCATCTCTTCCCCCTCTACTGTGATGGCTTCTGTTGCATAGGCTTTGAACCACTCTGGCTGTAGGAGGGTCAGGCTCTCGTTGTCATCCTTCCCCTTTGGGTGGTCAGCACGGCAGGAAAGGGCATCTGGCTTCCCCATGAGCTTCCTTGGCCGGTGGATGAGGGTGAAGTGGAAGCGGGACAGGAAGAGTGACCACCGTGCTTGGCAGCGATTAAGCCACTGTGCGGTGCCGAAATAGCCTAGTGTCAGGGCACACCCGCCTGACCCGGCCCCACCTAACCCGGTGCCCCACCATCCGCTCCTTCCGACCTCCCCCTCTTTTCCCTTCCCTTTCTTCTTCCCCTTCTTTTCTATTCTCTCTCCTCTTTATTCCTTTCTTATCACACAGACGACTTCCTTTGTATCAATGTACCATTGACCCGGCTGCAGTGTAACGTGCCCGAACCCGGACACACCGGACGACCCCCGCATACCGGATGCTCCTAGGACCTCTTACGGAGGTACCCGGACGGAGGTGGCTGTGTGCTTGGATGACGTGGCGCTTCCCACGTGGCCTTCAACCACATGTATATAAACACAGCCTAAGTGGGAACTGAGAAGCAACCTTCTTCTCACATTTCCCACTTTAGGCAAGTAGCTTACACTTCCCCTGATAATAACAATAACACATTTCCCACTTTAGTCTCAGTGGCCAGGGACCCTTGTCTGCTTCAGGCCCGTTGTTATGCGGGCCCGCGTCATACCTACCGGACCCTCAGCCTCGGGCGATACACCTGGGCGCTCTCGACCCCGGGTCGGTCCCTGACACCTAGGTTGTGGTGGTCAGTGTAGATGTCAACCTTTTCTTCGCTCCTTCTACAAAATGATGCCACTCTTCTAACATTCGGACTATCGCAAGCATCTCCTTATCGTAAATTTCGTAGTTGCATTCCACTTCGGTGAAGCTCTTGGACATGAAGGCTATGGGGTGGAACTCACCATCGGCTTGGAGCTGGGATAGGATGGCACCAGTGGCGAAGTTGGAGGTGTCGCACTTGAGTCTGTAGCGGCCGGAGTCAGTGGGAAAGCGAGGATGGGGGCGGAGGTGATGGCTTTCTTAAGAGCGTTGAAGGCATGTTCTTCACTCTCCCCCCATGCCCAGGCCTTCGCTTTGTGGGTCAGTGCACGGAGCAGGTGCGCTGTCTCGGAGAAGTCCTTGATGAAGCAGTGGTAGAAGTTCCCAAAACCTAAGAAGGATTGTACTTCTTTCACCTTCGTCAGTGTCGGCCAGCCAAGGACTCCTTGGACCTTCACCAGGTCCATGGCAATGCTGCCTTCAGAAATGACGAGCCCGAGGTACTCGATGCGGCGCTGCTCGAACT